GTGAATATTGTGGACAAGTGATAAATAAATTGTGACATTTACTAGGAACTGCCGAAGAATTTCACGGTTCGATCCTTCCTGCTAAAGACACTTAAATAGGCGCGGCGTGTTAATTACCTCTCGCTCTCATTGCGTTTTGCCATCGCCTCAACTGCTAACTGGGCTAGTAACACTGACACGCTACAGCGAGAGTCTCTTATTTTCGTAGGGCTGAGTACCCCACACCTAACACTCATTTTATGAGGCACATAGAGGAACACAGACAGAACCAGTGCCCTGATTTTACTCAACAGCCTATGCGTTCTTTTGCACAAAGTGTGAAAAACGCAAAGGCTAATGGCGAGGTCATGTGTACCTCATCTCCAGAAGCACTCAATAGATTTCTATTAAATTTGGTATCGAGGCAGGATGCATCTACACAAAATGTTATCAGATGAATATTGTTCATGCTTTAAAAAAAAGGTTTAAGTAGGACTTCATAATTTGTCTCGTACAAGAACTGACAGCCTAAATAAGCACTTGCCCTGTGGTTTTCCAGATTATGATTCCGTGTGGCCTTGTAGATTGTTGTCAACGTCCTGACTTAACGTATCGCCTCCATATTTATTTGGAACTTTTCCCGATACAGTGAATATTTAAATAAAGTTAAAGTGAAAGTATTATTCATTCAGTGGGAAATCTGCATTGTGACTGGATTCTGGCAATACATGAATATCGATATTAATGAATTTTTTGATTTCACAAATAAATGAAATGGAAAATCCCTGTTATATCCATAATGTTTATGCCTCGGAATGACAATAAGAAATGGAATATTTTACGAAGAATGTATATTGAGGGTGTTTCAGAATATGGCGCAGAAGAGAATGTTGCCCTAAAAGAGGGGATAACGTGAGAAAAATAAAATTACATAACGAAGAGCTCCATAACTTGTATCGTGCACATAATGTTGTTACGTGATTGAAAAAATAATCATCATTTAAATAGCCTGTAGTACTCACGAATCAAGAGAACCAAGAAATGCATACAAATGTTTGGTTTGAAGACCCTCTCTCCGGGTATAAGATAGCTTGGGAACCTTGACATTAATGGGGGATAATATCAAAATTGATCTGCATCTAGGTTGTGAAAGGAGATTAAGTTACTATCCCATGAAACAGATATGTCAGAAGAGTTTAATATAATTTTCTGCAAGGAAACAATGGACGTATTTCAAAATGTCACACCCAAGGTCTTCCATGACACACTGAACAAGAGAAGTGAGGCTCTGAAATCTCATAAAATTATATATAATAGAGCATGGTGACACAACTGTAAAACAGTACTTGTTTCTTCATCTGTTAGTGAACTACGTAAAGCTTATTGTTTTGATATGCAGTAAAAAGCCTCTAAATAGATAATATGATTATTCTCTCAATGTTAAAATATTAACATAAAGTTTCTCGGAGTTTGATTTTACTAGTAAAATTTATATTGAAAATCGGTCATTAGCAATACCTTCCAATAAACAGCTACGCCATTTAATTCAGCTGCTAAGCAAACGAAAAATATGGACTTATTCAAGAGGGCGAACCTCTGTGCCCTTGTTTTCGTAATTAACTCCTACTGTTAGTGACCTACACCATTTGCTGAATGTCCGGTGTCTTTATTCTTTTCAGTTCGTCAATTTAAGAACAAATAATTACCATTATTTTTAACATATTAATTTATAATAAATTATGAACTCATGAAAGTTAATGAAATTTATAAGCTTTTTAGGATTTGAGGTTTCCTTCTGGGTTGTTGCGCCGTGCAGTCTGGGAGAAGTTTACTGACGTTCCAGAGCTTATAAGTCTTTCTATTTACGAGCTTTCACACATATGTAATTTATAGGCATGGCTATGACAAAATAAATACTAGTAATATTAATTTAATTAATTTGGACAGAATACCTAAACTCTGTGTACTTAGGTTATCTTTCGGTTAGAGTGGTTGCAGGTATAAATGAAAAGCAGAAGTTGATGAGGGACCTTGCTTTGAACTGAATTATCGAAGTACCACTCTTTTGGCCAAGCCTGCTTTCCAGCTTAACCTTCAAAGAACATATAGGCTGAAACAATATTTCGATATTGGACTTCTGGGTTATAACGTCGTGTGGATTTGCAGGTAGATATCAACGTTTCAGAGGTCATACTGTCTCCGTCTTCAGGGTGGAGTCTTTAGGCTTGAAGACGGGGACAGGTTCTTTTTCCCGAAACGATGGTATGCACCTACAAGACATCGCGGCGTTAAAAACCAGAAGACATTTTCACCGCCGTCAGAACCTGAAACACAAACAGTAATACTTGCTCTGGAAGGTGACTTTGTGTATTTATGATAAGCACAAAGCCACTGTGGTGTAACGTGAAACCACAAATTGCGACATTGAGGCGGTACACGAGCCAAGTTTGAAGCAGCAGTGGGTGGGTGGGTATCTCGGAGAGCAGCGATTTCACACGCGTCTCGAGCCAACAGCATTGTCCCGTATACACACAAGAGCTGTTCTGCACACAAATGAGGCTTATTGTTACTCAGGGTGCAGGCTCAGACGTTTCCTGCAACCAGAGAGTGGAGACGAGGCATTGGTTAACCTTTAGGATACCCACGTGTCGTTCACTTGACCTTTCGGTGATTGATGAGTCGGTGAGGTTTATAGTCGCTAACGATCAGACCACAGTCACAATTGCACTGGTATTTCCTGCATGTGAGGCTCACCAAGTTTGTTTATGAAGACGTAGGGTCTGAATGGAAGAGATGGGTTTGTGTCAAACAATGTAACAAGACTTTGTGGTATTTGTCTGGATATAATATGTACTTTTCCCTTCACAACACTGACTAAGCCTCCTTTCCGGGATGCAATGCGCACCCAAATTTTGAAAGACTGGAATTAAAAAATGCCAATTTATGGAGAAGATGCAGTGATTGATGTGATGACGACTGCTGAAGTATCGGTGCCGATATATAGAAACATTAATCGTTTATGAATAATCTGTAAATTAGATTTCATGTGTTTAATTTCCTAAAACACTAATATTAAAGTGGCAGTTGTGAGAATTTCTGAGGCGAGAACAACATTAGCTTTATTTTATATGGGAAAATGGGACTACTTTCTGTGGATACCGATAATTTTTGATACATCTTGTTTGGATAGAAAGTAACATAAGAACATGCGACTGCGGGTAATGTCATTTGTATCTTATGTTCCGAATATTGTCGATAACTAATGATAAACTTGTAGGGTTGGGTTATATGACACTTATCCTTACATAAATACACAGTCGCGGGGAACTATTCTTTTTGTTATAAACATGGTGATGACGAGAAATATAACTTATAACTGTCAATAAATCAATTAAGTTATCTAGCAGAACTATTTAAGCCTTCATTAATAGTATTCACAAATCCTTCAAGAAATGGAGACGTGAATATTCAGCTTCGGTGTTACAACAGGGAAACCAAACCGTTCTATGTACTGTACGAAGACACGTGTTTCTTCTGAATCCTACTGCCTAGTTGTGTACTACTGTGTCCTGATTCACCACAGATATGAATGTCTTAGGCTACTGATTAATTTCGTCAGTTCCGCGCTGATAGCATGCCATTCCCATAGAAACATTAACATAAGTCATATCAGGTGAAGGCAACATTAGCGCATCCAGAAGTTCTGTACAGTGACAAAACTTTGAAAAATTTTCATTTCATATTAAGGAAAACATTTAGGGAAAAGGTCAGTGCAACCGCGAAGCGAAGTTATTGTTGATATGTAAGAAATCGTTGTAACTAGGTCTGATATTTCAACGGTGACAGTTTAAAAACATATCTGATAGAAGAAATTCAATTAGCTCTAGAACTTTCTCTTCCTTCCTTCCATTCTTTGTATCATTTTACAAATAAACAGACGATTTAATTCTGTTAGCAGACCGTGGCAGAAACCTGGCATAGTAACATCTTGAGAGTTATTGAAGCCAAACAGCGTATTCGGGTGTGGGTGGAGAATAACACCATAGCAGCATCTGCTTGATGACGCACTTTCACCGCGTATGAATCCACGGATTACAAAACACGACTCGCTTTCAGTAATTAGCTGCACACTGCGTATTACAACTCATTCCGTAATTCATTCCTACAGATGAAACCTCGCGCATAGGAGCATATAGACATATTTACTGTGTTATCTCTCTTTTAACAATACAAATTACGACTATAAACAGTGCACGTGGTATCTCATATATTCATTTTTATTTTTAGTATCTGTTATCCCTTTTACTGGATTGTTTTAAAGGTCTTGGAGAAATTTTTTCGCATAAATGAACAATACTAAACCCTCAAGAAGACTCTGTACACACATAGCTGTGCAGACGAATTAAAACAGCTTGTTGAAGATTCCTTTATTATTCCACACAAGATACGAACGAGACATATAGGAACGCGATCACACCCTGAACTATCCTGCCCACTTGATGTTTTGTTTCCTGGTGAACTTTAAAACAGCTGCCAAGTCCGGAGTTAAAAAACTGCAGTTAGTTACTTCGCGGTTTCAGTCACACCAAAATTGAAGGAAATCCCCGCCAACTATACGGACACTCCCAACATGTAATCTGTGCGACGGTGCGAGAAAACGTGGTCAGACGAACGGAAGAGAGCTAAAAGGAAGGAATGAAAGAGAAAGAAAGGAGAAAGCAACACAAAGAAAGAATAAGAAACACCGCTTGGCATTTAAGTAGGATCGGATGGTTTTTTGCTAATTTTCTAATACGCATTCAAAAACTTTCTTTGTGAGCTTGTATTTCGAAACGCCTGTTAAGTGTGGCTGTGTTCGCTCTGTAAATATAGGCGTGTGGTAAGGCTGTACATTCAGCACAAACGCATCATTTGATGAGCAATACGAACGATCAGGCCAAATGTCAAGTTTCGTTACGTTAACATTTTTACTTTAGAATCACCTTAAATACGTCGCTGAAAAACCACGAATAGGTAAGACTTAACGGCTGAGAGATGGGGGTTCAAGTCTATCCACTGTTTTTTTTCCGAATATTTAAGAATTTAGACGTCGAAACCAGTGGTGCTTAAAAGTTATATACCTTGGCCGCATCTGGATAAACACTTAAACCACGGAAGATTAAATTAATATAAGACATGACACGAAACATAATTAAATGAGTGCACGAATGAGAAATTCTCAATACAAATGCATTGACTCAAATAAGAAAATCATACAGAATTTGAGATTGGAGAACGTAAATAGATAACCATTTCGGAGACAGAAGCACATATGAACTACAGTTTGTTGAAATACGTTATTCCAGTAATGTTTAGATAGTAAAACTATAAAGGGCATGAAGGTAAACATGCCTTTTTGGGTGGGAGAGAAACTGGGTGGAGGATTCCGGCGTGTGGAATCTCCAGGTTTCTTTCATTACCTTGCCTACTTGGAGAATCCCTAGCCAGTCATATATCCGCGCGGTGAATCCTCTGTGATGACGTCGTCACTAAGCCAGACACCACTCCTGACTCATACAAACTGAGGGGTCATTGGCGCCATTCGCGAAGGTCAAATGCCAAGTTATAGTGGACGAGCTAAAATTGTTATGATGTGCGAACATGATTCCAAATAAAAATGTAGTTCTTCGATTCGTTAAGAACAGGAATTACCTCGATTACATGAATGACGGTTTTCTGTTCAAGCAAGATATTCTACAATACAGAGGCCAAATATGTATGTAGATGTCTGGGTCAAATTAGCGGTACTTCAGTTTCCGGGGCTTTTGCCAAGAAGTGGAAGTAGAAGAAGCCTGCCGATTTCTGTAAAAACAAATATTAGCACAAGAACTAACTTCACGGATCAAAGCCGTTCTTCAAAGCCAATAGTTGTTCAACTACTCGGATTTCTCCCCTTTAGTGGAACCAAAAGTTCCTTATTGTGGGACACAACGGTCCGGCGTTAGGTCCTGTGCCTGGGCCGGAAGAATCCAACTCACACCCTCACAATCTTCTTTAAGATTCATTTGAATATTATACTCCCATTTAGACATAAGTCTTCCAAGTGGTAATTTCTTTTCAGGTTTTCTGACTACAATTTTGACGACGAAGACGAAAACATAATCCACCTTTTAAAACTTTAGATTTTTATAATTTGGACGACAGACAAAAGTCCAAAATAACAGTTTTACTCGTTGGAATGCACCATCGTCAAAACCCTTCAAACTCAGACAAGTTTAATTTGGTTCTGGCCTGACTCGGTATGGACCATTCAGTAGTGAACTTGTGCCACTTATGCTTGAAGCAATGCAGATGCTTACCTCAGGGAAAGTGGGTGAAGGGAAACGATGTCTGTCGAGAGAGTGAGGGAAAAAAAGGCCAGAAGAGAGTCGAGACTGGTTTGAGATTGATGCAGCATTTTACGATCTTCGCAGACGAAATATTTTACTGCTTCGCTGCACTCCAAATGAATACAATATTCGACCGCTTGATTCGACTTTGACCGCTTAAGTTTCGAGTATACAAACACGGAAAGTAGTACGATTCGGTTGAGAGTGTATTTTTTTTGTATTTTTTTGCACTGTAGCCGAAACTTTAAAGTTAACATTCATTTAAGTCTTTAAACCGCAGTGGTAACTATTTCGTCCGTAACTCGACATGTTTCCCACAGAATGAACGTGTTCTATTGGGATTTCATAGCAAAATACGACTATATTCAACGCCCACGTGCAACCGTACATCGTAACAGAGATGTGATGAATTTTCTTTGAGGTAGATACCTAATTAAGACACATTTGCACTCCTTTCCACGAAAAGTTATCCACGTTTGAAGCTGGATACCCTGAATTCTGACTCTTATTAGAGAGAATCGGGCACATATTGCGACATTTTTACGCAATGCCAGTTGATTAGTGGTCAGAAGTTCGACAGCCTAAACACCTCCAGCATACGCATTCCCAGCATATCACACATAAATCTTCCTCGCTTCATTGGGGTGTTACACCGGACATGTAACGTGGTGTCACGTTGAAATGGAGACATTCTTAGATTACATTCCTTGGCATTTATACCACATTCAATTGTCAGTATACGTCCGACAATGCGGTGCTGCCTACACAGTCAAGACGTCACACATCTGTGCAGCAGTACAAATTATCTAATAATCTGGGGGGATATAACCCTTAAACATCCATTGCGAAATATACGCACCACCTGATTTAACAATAAGTAACTCTGCATTTTGTATCAATGGGTTTCGTATGATTCTCACTGTAAACATCGATTATTACTTTAAACAGCGTTAACCAGCTGATCTTTGAAATGGTGAAGTGCTGTGTTTTCTTCGCTGTACGGACTGAATTTTTTAAATACTATTTAGACGAGTTTCGGTTTCAAACGGTTAAGAGTAAATATTCTGTATGTCATCCGCAGAAAATCGACATTTCAAATTTAAATACATCATGAAAGCAATGTGACAGAATGATAAAAAGAAAATTGTGAAAATTCTATGTTTTCTCTGTATCATCTCAGCGGCATATCACACAACACGTTGCGGAACCTGACAGGTAATCTTGTT